CACTTTATTATCAACTATTTGTCAACTTTCTTTTACGCCATAAGTTTTACCAATAACCGAGGTGCTTATGTTTACTACTGAAGATTTCATGAGACATTTTTTTTGATAAATGTCCGGTGTAATCTGTACACCCAGTTTTGTCACTAATCTTCTACATAGTGGGAAAATGTCCACACTGTGTCATCCCTAGTGACAGAGAGATCTATATAAAAATCTGGATCTAGTAAATGTGGTTTCATAAGGGGGCTGTTGGGCCTCAGCGCTCCACTGGGTGCCATTCAAGTTGATATTTAAAATGTTACGCACCCTTTAAATAATGTTCAGGTGGAGTGTCTCACCCACAGCCGTCTGCCAGAACTGATGCAAGGCTACACTGTGTCACGTAAACTGACAAAGTCATTATGTCAAGGTTGATGTGAGTAGATACTGGTTACAGACGTATACAAGTTATATATGCACATAAAGAAACAAGGATGTAAAGCGAAGCCCTATTGATTCATTCATCCAAGACAAAATGCAGTGATGAGGTGTGTGAATGTGTGGGGATCAGTTTCTTCCACTGTGCATGCACCTTTAACCCTTTCCCATATTGTGGCCAGAAAATCGCCCCTGGTGTACCTGTACACCGTTACTATGACAACCATTTCTGTCCAGTGTGCCCAGCGTCCAGTGGTAGTATTTCAAAGCAGACAGTCAAGAATAAAGATGAGATTTTTTTTAAATCATCAGATTTGCCTGCAGCCTGAAGATAGCTGCAGTCTCATTAAGATTCACTGCAACGAAGAAAAAAAAAAAACATCTCAGGATCGATGGACGACGTCTGGGAGCCTGAAGAGCCACCGAGGGACCGCAATCATCATCAGTCTTCGGCTGACTGATTACAGTCCGTCCATCAGGATTGTGGCACAGCGTGATAGAGAAGGCTTAATGCATGTGCCTGTCCTAAAATTCATACAATTACAGGTACAGAGCAAGAATTCACATGATAAAGATCGGGTTTGTAAAAATGAAATGAACTGATTTAATTACTGAGACAGTGGACGTGAGTAGTAGATTCTATCTCACACTGATAGTACGGCCAACTCTAAAATTACCACAATTCCCATGAACAGTTTCTTCCCACTCTTATAAAGTGAGTGTGAATTACAAGCCTGACACTCATTGCTACATTTCAGTCTTGAATTCCAATAAGCTGAGGCCAGCAGCCAGACTAATCCAAGAAGAATAAGAAAAAAAGATGTAAAGTGAACTCCCTGCCTCTTAAACCTCATCAATCTCTAGATAAACTAATGAACTAAACTCTTTAACCTTTTAAATTAAGCGCTGCGTTGTCAGTGCCTTGAGATTTTAGCCTAGGATGACGGATAGTCTTGTGTCTCGTGTGCGTCAATGAGCATTTTTAAGATTAAAAGCATCATGAAACACCACTCCACAAAATTTCAAAAAAATCCATAATAACAAAAAACAAAACCTCCTTGCAGAGATAAAAAAAAATCTTCAATGGGAAACTTTTGGAAAAGTATAACCTGATTACTTCCAGAGCAGCCTGTCAAAAACATCCTTCGTCTTCCCCCGAGGAGGATGATGATGCTGAGAGGGATGTCTCTATTATCCTTTCACTGTTTCCACCAGGTTTTCAGGTGTGTGCCAAGGTCAAGTTAGACTTTTCTCCAAATCAAACCATGGCTCGCAAAGTAAAAGGAAGTTCACGGGCAGATTTTTCTATTGTCTGCAGTTTAACAAGCCTGATGTTGTTTTCTCTTCATCTTTAATGAACAGCTAATGTTTCCCATACATTTATTAATTTGTGGCAGCTCTCCAAAAGATCGCCATTAACTGCCACATGTTGATTTTCTCTTCATTTATGTCATTGTAATGAGGAGGACAAAGATATTGGAATTGATTTCTCCAGTGTTATTTCACTCCATCCAGCATCTATCACCATGAATTATCTGAGGCAAAGAAAGAGTACTTGGAATTAAACCTGCTCTGACTATTTAGAAAATAATCTCTGAAAGTGCGTAGTTAGGAGAAGGAAGAAAGAGGGCATCGCTACACCTGCCACTGTCATCAGCCCATAGATGCATCTCTACTTCCTCCTAACATCCAGAAATGAAGCCGAAATATTCAGGATATGAACGCTGCCATCTTGTCAGTCTGTGCAAAAATTAAAATTCTCAGTAAAGATGTTGCTTAATGTGGCACAGACCAGCTTCCTCCTGCATCTGTTCCTCCCTGAGCCAGTTGCTGGGAGTCATATGTACACAATAACAAACCATGTCACATGACATAGCTCTAAAGGGCATGAGTGTGGTCAACATCGTCCTCCTGTCAAGCTCTGGCAGGCTGCTGCTCCTTCCGGAACACACACACATAGGAAACCATGTACGTCAGTCCACGCGGTGCAGCAGATCAATGATTAACCGGTCAGATGCTCTGCTGCATCGTGTCAAGCTGAGTGAATAGGTGGTGAAGGGAGAAAGAAGCCAAACAATGGATATGATTGATAACACACACACACATCCACTCATTAAGGAAAGAAGCAGGATGAGACACACCCTGCTCGTCATCTAAAATAGAAACAGATACATCTCACCGGCACATCTTTTCCATTTCTCCCAGGCAAAGACTAAAAGAGATGAGACAGTGTTTGAAGTTTGATTTCTGACTCAGTAATCACTTCATCCGGCCTAAAAGAAATACAAATAGATGAAAATGTCAGGAAGAAATTAGGATACACACATTTTTTGGGGGGACTCTGACTTCTCTTTTTCCTTCACATTGTTGCACAAACCCAACATTGCTGTAAATTCTTTTCAACTTTTAACCGAAGAGCAGCGTTTTTTTATTCACAACATTCCAATCCCAATGTTCTCGGTGCTGCTATGTTTACGTAAGACCCGACACAAAAGGCAGGAGCACAATACAGCCCCATATTCACAATACAACAAACATCAAACCAACACAGATATGTGATTATTTCCCACAGAGCTGAACTCCAGGGTAAATTGGCCGATGTGTGAACAGATAACAAGCTTGTTTTGCTTCACTGCTGATATGATTTAGCTTCTTGCAGTGCTCACAGCAGTCAGGAACGGTGAATAAAATTTGCCAGACAAGTAACTTAGCAACATAACTTTGCAAACCAAAAAAGTAACTCCCCAATGGTTCAAAGCAACAAATGAATAGCAATTAGATCTGGTGAACTTAACTTAACCTGATCTCAGTAAATTAAGAGATGATTTGGTTTTTGCATTGCAGACCATGAAAAAACACACGGACAGTTAGCTAGCCCTCGCTTTAAAAAAAAATGAGGATAAACAAATGTTAAGATTTAGTCGAGGCAAACATCAGTTTAGGGCAAGCATAGATAAACAGGGGAACAGTTAGCCTGGCTTCAAAAGGTAAAGAAAATGATATAGTCTACAAAAATAGTCTATCTATCATTTCAAGGGTGACATCCTTAAATAACCTCCAAATCATTGGTAATTATCTGCTCACTCTGTCACCCTCCAGTACCAGGAACGCTCATATTGTACACAAGTGATAATGAGGGCAGACAAAGCATCTGTCACATGCAGTAGATTTAATGAAGTGACACAGATTCCAGTCGCTCACATGTCAATCAAACAATGACGAGTTCAGATCCTGGAGCTGTTGAAGTTTTTGGATGTGAACCTTCTCTGCTCTGTTTTCTCTGTTCGTTTTTCCAGCTGCAAAAGCTTTCTTTTATGAATACTAACAAAAGAAGATCATCTATTTTTACCTCTGTGAAAATACTGCTCCGTTTTCTTTCATCCCAAAAACCGTTGTGCTGTGTGATGCTGTATTTCACACCACTGTCCTATTTTTCAGGGGTTTTGCTCCAGTAAAGCAGCACTTGTTCCAAAGCTGTTTGCTTGTTTGGTTATTGTACTATTGCTCCTTCTGCTGATTGACATGCCTGTTAAGAGAATGGCAATCCAGGTGAAGAATAGATAACAGTCACCTAATTGCAAAACACACAATTATGTTGACTGCATGATACGCAGTGTGTAACCGGCTCCATTTGTGCCAGGAGTATCAATTAACACATCCTACGACACCCTGCTGCATGCTGCATCAACAATGTGTGTTTCAGCTCAGCGCTCTTCTTTCTCCTGTTACACGAGCTCTGTAAGTTTCTCCGGATGACAGCATCGAGCCTGAGAATACGTCCTTGGGGAAGGTTCTTGCCGAAGAGCTGTGTCAGATTCTGCAGTTTTAGGGATCTTGCTTGGGGGAGCGGCAAGAGGGTAAAAGACTGAAACAGGTCATTGCTTCTGGTCTGCAGCACATAAAGTGTGGCTGCTCTTTACTGGCACTCCAACCCTTGTTTGCAATTTCCTCCCGCGGGCACATGAGCAGAAAATGGGTTTGCCATTAGCAGTATAAATAAGCATTAAGCCATCAATAAAGAACCTCACTTTAAATTAACTTTTTTAATTTAGCTTAATTGAGTTTAAATGTGTCCCATAGGGATTGAAAGGGTGTAAACACATTTCAAGTAACATCCTCATATAGAAAGGAAACAACAGGACCAGAATATTGACTATTAAAGCTTGATTGTTAAAGTTGGATGGTTTTGGTTGAAACAATTCTCTTTTTAATCAAAGTCTAAAATACTGAAATGTCCTTTTTGCTTCAATGAATTTCTGGTTTCCCTAATGGTCCATTTTCCACTCAGAGGCAGTGTTCAAACTTTAAGTGGGTTTACCCATACAGGTCCAATAACTCATCAGAGGAAGTATTGCTCAGCCTAAGTTGTGAGAACTCAAATAGTATGTGGATAGGCAGTTCTGGATTTCCTGTGGCCTGAACAAAATTGATGTGAGCCCACTTGTAAAATATCAAATGTGGCCCAACTATCCTAAAACAAATGTGGACATTTTCGGGCAAACATGTTCTGCTCTCTGCAAGGTGTAATCTGGACGTGAACCTAAAGTGGCTCATGTCGTAAATGGTGAATATAACACACTTACTCTGAAGTCGATGCCCACAGTAGAGATGAAGCTCCCGGCTAGAAAGGCTCCATCTTTGAAACGAACCAGCAGACAGGTCTTCCCCACACCGGAATCCCCCACCAACATCACCTGAGACACACACAGGTAGAGGAAGAAAGGCTTCGGGTGAAATCTTGTACACAAATACACAGGAACACACACTTCTCAGCTGCCCCAGGAGAAATGATTACAATTATAAATATCATTTTTTCTACTCACTCCAGACGGGAGAGTTGAACCCAGAGCTTCTTCCTTTCTCTTTCTTTCTCATCAGACAACAAACTCAAATTCACTCAGTTCACTATTGTATCATCTGATAATGTTTGTGTGCCCTACTACTGACTCAAGCACTGTATGCACTAATGCTCCTCTAATCTGATATTTAAAGATTCTGGCAGCAATACATGCTAATATGAAAGGTCACTGTGTTGGGTGTGTATCAGATGTGATATTTGAGACACTGATCTTAGTGCATTAAACAAGAGCAGTGTTTTTGGCAGGGCTGCAGGGAATAGAGTAGAATAATAAAACCAGAAAGGATGGGGGGGGGGGTCAAGACTGCAGTGCATTAGTTAACGCACATTTACTAATTTGGTTGTGATTAGCCAGTGAGCCCAGGCCCGCTGTTGAATTCTGTTTACCCATCGAGATGCGTTACCCCACTTATTATTCCCCTTGGTCCTCGTGCACGCTCTTGTGCGGTCTTGTGGACAGTCTGGCTCTATGTGCAGTGCACACACACTTTCTAGCACTGCATTATTCATCCCTCTTTTACAAGTCCACTTGCTATTACTCATGCCCAGTTCTACACTCAAGTGTTGGCTTGTATGAAAAGACATTCTGCACAAACATAAATTAGTAGAAGCACCCACCAGAGTGGATCACTGGAAGGAATGGAGGAGTTTATCTATGCACAATTAAAAGAACAGAATGTGATTTATCAGCAGACCACAAGCTGATATGACACTTTAATCCCTTTACACTGAAACACTTTATCTGTACAAATGAATTATTGAATTCACTGACAAACAGCAAGTACAAATCTATCTGTCAAAGGCCTGCTGGCTATCTTGGGAAAAATCCAGTACATAGACAGCCCCGTTAAAAAGCTCATCATTCAACCTTAAATTTCTACGATGTTTCTCTCTATGTTTAGCTCAATTTAAGAAATGTTTTATTCTTACTCTCCTGGAAAAAGTTCTAAAGATCAGTGGGTGAACGTCGTAGGTCGTAATATTTCCAGCAGTAATGTTTTTACCAAAAACTCCTCGCTTCCATTTAACTCCAGGCTCGATTGAATTTGCAGCTAATTACCACCACCCACTGACTCAACAAGGGCATGACTTGATATGAGGCGATGTAAGCAACAGAGAATAATAATTACATGCAATGATTAAATTTGGGTTTTGTTCTGTGAAGTTAAAGTCACATTATAATCTGAATTGTAATCTGAATTATAATTGTCGGATATCCAAAGTAGCGACAGCGACCTTTAATCCCTGGCACTGTTGGGGGGCAAGAATTATTACCAGCTGCCAGCCAAGTTTATTTAACATAATGAAATTACAGACACCGGACAAACAAATGTTTGAGAATGTTATTGACTATGCCCCCCTGAGGGAAATAATAGTTGGATTAATGTTTTCCAGCAAACTGCAGTACTTCCAATACTTATCCACCATATGACAGTGTACAGCTACTGCACAGGCACCTGTATGGCAGCCCATTTCTGCCAAGACATGAAAAGAAACTATGCATAATGGAAATAAAAAAGTTCTTAGGGTGAGTCAAACTTGATCTCCGGAGTTCAAATTTAACTTTATGAATTTTGAAAGTTAAATAAAATGTTTACTTTGCGTGCCATACAATACTAGAAAATTCAATCAAATCTTAATTTACACATCCAAGGTAATTTAGTATATTTAATTAATTTTAACTTTCTTAATCAACAAACACACAAAAAAATTATCAAGGATGCTGGAATTGAGGGGGCTGCAGCATGCCTTACTGGTGAGGGACAGCAACTGCAAGGCGAACACGTTTTCTTAAATCAATTAAAGAAAGTTTCATTTGATTTTCTACTGTGACATTTTGAATGTAGCATAGTCGCAGGTTTTAATATCAACCTTTTTTTCCTCTAATATTTAATGTGATATTAGATGGACACAATCTTACTCAAGCTGTTTTCAGACATGCACTAAACTCCAGAGATCCTCCAGACATTCTACAGAGGGGCCGTACATGAAAAAGCAAATGTGTGAGTGAGAGCCTCTGGACTTTCTGCAGCCAGCCCCCAATTTCACCGTGAGGGCTTCTTACACGTCAAAAACAGTGTCATACCCTTATGAGACACCAACCAAGGTGTTGAGAGCTTCAGGTAATAAGAGCTAACTCCGGTGTCGATGTGCTGTAAACAGAAACACCTGATCTCCGCAGCAGAATGTATACATTATATCCTGCCTGCTGCACCGCCACTCGCCTGAATAATCTGGAGACAACACGTCTGAGTAGAGAATCTGCTGCGCTGTGCATGTGTGAAAGGCAAAATCCGGAGGGGAGCCCAGATTCTCTAGACATCCTCAGAAAAGGTTGGCACCCCCAACTCTGGCTGACATCCAGCATTCCAGTTAAAACCCAATTTATAAAATAAGTCAAAGAGAATTATATAAATCACGTTTTTTTACTTGATAAATCAAATGCTACTAAATAAAAAAATTAGTTAAATGATCAATTGTGAGATAATAAAGTCAAACTTGTGTCATATTGATGACATCTCTTCCTCTATTTGGCAGGAATGGGCTTCCATACAGTCCTGTAGCACGTTCAACCATGACACAATGCTTCTTAACTTTGTAAACTCAATAGTTAAAACTATACTGGCTTTAGTCTTTCTCTAAATATTCAGCCTCTAGCATCGAACCCTCGTTTTCTGGTTGGGGGGGGACTTGCAACTCTGCAAACGAGGATTCAAACTCAGGTGACAGAAGGTGTTTCTGTGGTTTTAAATGTGTTGAAATGTTCGGACCTCGCAGCAGCAGGGATCGCACCTGTGACATGTTTTGCAAACATGTTCCCACAATCTCTCGGCTCACCTTGAAGGCGATGTCGTAAAACTCTCCGCTGTTGCTGATGGACGGTCTGCTGGGGTAAACCAGTCCGGAAGACGGAGCGGCTGCGGCGGCCAGACCTTTCCCCGTCCTCCCGCCGTCTCTGCCGCTGCTGCTCGGCGACGCCTTGGGGCTCTTGGAGCTCCCTTTGCCTTTCACCGCCTTCTTCCTGGACATGGCCCCGATGACCTGTTCAACCCCCGGTGAGAAGAGAAAGAAAAAGCGAGGAGGAGAAGTGGAAGAGGCAGTGGATCTGCTCAGTCTGCTGTTACTTTTCCTTGCTGTGATCGAAGGCGCGTCGAGGCGATTAGAAGTTCACCTGTGCGTCAAAAGCATGACTGTGCGTAAAGCGCAAATCTGTCACGGACACAGTGAAGAGACTGTTGGACTGAGCCAGCTGTGGTCCCGGTGCAGCAGCTGGATGAATGTGGGGTCTGGTTCACTATGTAAACAGCTTCTCTCCTCCCTCCCTCGTATTGTAATGATGGGAGCGCACAGAGCCATGGTCTTTACTGTGCGTCCATAAAGAAACTCCACCCTAAAGCAGAAATAACATTATTCTATGAGTCAGTGCCTATACCTTTACATGGACACTTTTATTCCACCAGATTAAATAATCTGAATAAACCATTTTAAATGGATAGTTCACCCAAAAATGAAAATGCACTCATTATCTTCTCACCACTATGCTGGTGGAGGGCAGGGTGAAGTGTTTGAGTCCACAAGACACTTTTGGAGCTTCAGGAGTAAACAGCATTGCAGCCAAATACAATACAACTAAAGTAAATGGTGATCACTTCTTCAAATGTCAGTGGACAGCTGTACAGGTGTAAACGCACTATAGAAGCAGGCAACAGCAACAACAGAAGCATTGGCTCTGCCTTTAATTTCTTCTTCTTCTCCTTGCTGCATGGCATCTTTGCAAACAGAAATTATGTGTGTGTTTATTGGCATATATACACACACACTCAGAGCTGTCCACACATGTTAGTACCAGGTGTGTACAGAGCCTAAGAGAGGGCGCCCTCGAGTCAGTAATACACACAAGGCCAGTGGAATCACACACAATACAATCTCTCGCATGTATGTGTGTGACCGCCTGTGACAGGAAGCTTTACATTTTCTCCACAGAGACTTTCACATTCAAGGCTGGCTTCACTATGTCAGACAACATTATCACACACCTTCCTCTGGTATGGGACAGAGCTGCAGCAGACAGGCTGTAAAATGTGGGACTTCAGCATGACATGATTTACATACAGCTTTTTTTCTTTATTCAGAGCAGCTCGAAAGCAAAAACACTCTCGTTGGCTGAGGGAAACGTCGGTGTTCGAGAAATTGCTACAGGAATTTTGTGGGAGAGATAACTTAAGGTGGAACAGAGGGCGTCAAGTTTTGAAACCAGGATGGAAGCAAAGAGGGGAAAAGGGGAGCTGTCAGCAAAAGAACACGGCCTCAATATATATTTTATGCATAAATCATTATAAATCATTATTTTAACGACAATGTGTCAGTGCACATTACCTCCACCAACACCCACCAGCCCCCCAGGCTTCCAATACACCCTGGAAAACCTGGGGATTTAGAAAGTATACTTCCAGGCATGAAAACAACCTGGAGATGATAAAAATGATAATATTCTCGGACTAAACTTCATTGTCCTGGGACTTTTTGAAATTGTATTTCAGCTCCATTCATCGATCGCCTACAGTGTGTGTTTGGAAGAAGCTGTGCAGAATGACAGGCATGCACCCCCCCTGTAACTGTGAAAACCCATTAAAACAAAGCTTTGATAATAACTCACAGCTCACTGTGTACCTCATAGTGGGATCTCCTTTGTTTTGAAATTGTTATTGCATTATAGTTTTGTCCAAGGTTCAAGTTCATATACACCAGAGTTTCAAGCATTTCAGGTAAGTTTTCAAGTAATTCAAGTCACACGAGTAACAAACAGAGTTCAGTGGATGTAGCCACTAATCATGAACCCTGCGTCTTTAAAAAGAAGGACATTTATTATTATTATCTGAGCATTTTTGATCCATTACTGTCCACAATCATCAGGGAAAACTCCTGGAAATGATTTGGGAAGGGTGGGAACCCTCATGGAACCACTTTCAAATCCCTTAGATCCAGATTTTTATTTGGATCTGAACCAAATTGCACACACTCATATATATAATCATTACTCCTTGGAAAATGCACAAAAAAAAAACAAAACAATGAAATTCCTGGATCCACACCAAAATGGAATGGGTTCTCTATCATCCATGTGCCATGTTTATACCAAGAAACATGAAAGTCCGTTCAGCAGTTGGCGGAGGTAATGACGGTTATTTCACTTCCTCCACTATGATGATACAGACTCTAAATAATCTGATGTCATGACGAAGAAAGGATGATCTGTCCTCTGCACTGGTTACTCACTTGCTGTGATGTACACCTTATGTCCCACAGAAGCTTTTTCCGTCTATTTTAATCTATAACGTCCTTTAAATAGAGATTTTCAAACCTGAACAGTTCAACCAGTAGGTGCCCGGCATCTCTACTTAAAAGTCACATTTCCATCCATGCATCTCTGACGTGATTCACTCACTTTTTTCTGCCCAGACTTTCTCAGCAGGGATTTGTACCAACAACCCACATCTTTTTGGTCACAAGTCTTTGAGCCTCACCGCCGCCCCCACTTCAATATTATATCACGGAGCGACTGGGAGGATGCCAGGAGCCAAACTGGAGACAGACACATGTCTCTGCTGTCTTGTTATACAATCAGAGCACAAAATAGACCTGTGGTGTAATCTGCAGGTTCACAATTAAAGTCGCATAACACGGCTGCGAGAACCGACTCTGCTCGGAGATTTATCCGTCTGTCCAAAAGCGGTGAACACAGCAAACAGGATGCAGATGCGTTTGATGGTGAGACTATTAAAAACAGCCATGCTGTGCAAGTGGTACACTGTCAAAACCAATGAGCTGAACAACAGTAGGAGCACAGACACCATCCATCAGCAGTGTAATAATAGAGTTCCTACACATCTACAGACACACCGATGGGACAGGCGCATTATCTTCTACATACAGTCCAGGCCGTAAATATTGGGAAAGCTTTTGCTCTGCAGGCTTTGTGCTGTAGCACATTCAATTTATGGTAAAGGAATGGATAGTAAAATAAAATATCATTCAGGAGAGCACATACATCTGCCAAGGCCCAATAGTTCCCTCAAATTCAATCAAGCTCACAATCAACAATGCACACACTCAGGGTCCCCAGTCCCCTGAATATGCCTGATTTTTTCATTTAGATCCATGATGTCAATGCCATGGCTGAGTATTTCCACGGTCACACATACCCAAATGTTGCAGTGGCTAAACTTTGCCGCCCGTTCACTTCCAATCTGTGTGAGCGAGGGAGCGAATAAAACAATGGTGGCTTTGCGTGGAGTTCAACATCTGTGTACCTGCAACACTGGCCTGCATTCATGTGTGACAATCAAATGCCAATCTGAAAAAAATGGTCAGGGTTTGTGAAACCTAAGAAACCAATTCTGCCAACTTGTGGGTCTCTCTGGATGTATTTGATTTTTAAGAGGTTTAACATGAGCCAGGTCACACAACAAGAAACACGAAGCTGTCAAAGTACATTATATAAGTAGTTTTAAACAATTTAAGAATTAATGATATCCGATCGGTTCTCGGCATCGGCTGAGTCCTGGTATCGGAAACTGCATTGAGAAGGGATCAATGATATCGGAGCATCTTTAACCACAGGGAGACAATATTTATCTAAGAAGCAACTGAGTCAGCTACAGTGTGTCTTAACAAATACAGACCCACTGTGTTACACTAACAGAAACAAATCACTGTACTGTTCTTTTTTATCAACACAGACAGATGCTTTGTTGTGCTGAACGCTTACATGGCCGCTCCTGGATCTTCAGTATATCACAATCTCACTCAAACAGCTTCATAAATGCCTTTCACTCTCTTTGCAGACCATGGTGTGTGGCACCAGAGCCATTCACAGAACAGGGAACCAACTGGAATCATTTATATTTGAGACGCGCTGCACGTACTGAACCAGTGAGTGTCTCAGGCAGCTCTTTGACAAATGTCTTCAGATGTATGCAAACGCGTAGAAAAGGCTCAGTCAATCAAATTCAAAGACGCACAGAAGTCAGAGACGATTTTGATTAATTATGCAACAAAACAGGAGTCAAAAATAATTAATTTAGCAGCCACAGGACTGAGGAAAAAGAAAACATTGAAGTCACTATAACAAGAAAGAATGAGACGACATTATTGGCTGAATACACACAAGGCATGTCAGTCAGTCTGTCAAAAAACAGTCAGTCAAAAAACAGGGTTCAGTTAGAGGAAGGAATTTGGGAGAGTAAAGAAAAAAGTAAGTAAAATTCCAGATGGCAGCTCCATCTAGTGACATATCTGTGTTATTACAACTCGTGCTAAACTCAAGGAACACAAGCCAGTATCAATGTGGAGATGTCAGTTCCAAAGAGACAACCCAAAACCTGCAGAGCTGCTCCAAGAGTAACATCTGACATTTTGGATATGTGATCTTTTGATTTGGAAAATTACTATTTTTATTTCATATTCTAAGTGTCTGTAAATTCAAATAATGTTCAGAGCAAATATCTAAATCACTCCCGGCTATGTACAAAAGTTTTATGTTTTCAATACAATACAACAAATGTGATCTGAGAGGTGTTTCTTGTACAAAAAGCCAAAACATGTGTTTCACTGTTGGGGTGAAATTGTGGAACAAGACCAATATGAACTCGCTTTTTAAAAGAAAGATTTGCAGAACTATGTTTTGACAGTGAATGATTTTATTTACATGAACTTCTCAAGGGTAGCCTCAATTTTTGGTGTAATATTATGAGTACACTTGTTTACATAAGCATTTGCTTCTGCCTTAACCTTTTCATTCAATATATATTATGTAACTGTTTAGACTTTGTTTACTCTGAATATATTGTTGATACTGTGCAGTGTTTGAATAAAAAAATCTAGATTTGTCAAACTACTACTCTCATGTTGACTTGTTAATTTGCAGACTCAACATGTTGTAGATACATGAAGATATCTTTACTAGTGGCATTTATTTAAGAGAGGTCAGTAAATGAATACAAGAGTAAATAACAGGAAAAAAGGATTGTATGCAATCATTCTGTGAGAAATCTTATTTTTGTTTTTATTTGTGCTAACCAGATGTTTGCCCTAAAATGTTCAGCCTCTGCAGAATACTCAAACACTGATCAGTGTGTGGAGACACTGACGGGTAGATATGTTTCAGTACATTATAACATCCCCAGATAAAATCTTGAAGAGTCATCACATTATTAGGGAATAAATGTCAGGATGTTTGATTTGAGAAATTGTTTTATTAAGCAGGTCTCCATGACAAAACTGAAAAACCTGACGAGTCCTTTGATTCCCTCCTTGTAACATTTATTTGGCTCCAGCAGCGTAGTCCTGAAACTGACCTC